CCTTCAAGAATATTGGAAGATTCAAACAATAACCGAATAATTCCTAATTTTGAACCGAGCCCGCTTCAACACACCTCTTATATGCCATGAATAACAGTATCTAGTGCGTAGCTTTACGCTGTACATAATAGTCATTTCTCATGACCAAAATGACCAGACTTGTAAACTGGTTTGTTTTCATGTAACCCATGTTGTACGAAATATGTATTGTTATTGCCATAACCAACAATCAGAAATGAGGTGTTTCCTACAGAGTAGAGTGGAAAGAATGTAATAAAGCATGATAATCGGGAGTTTGCTTCAAATTTTACATGTTTTTTCTTACAACTTTGGTCTCAGCAAAGTTATCGTATATGATATCCCTATTAGAAGCCCAGTGATGCAAATTTCATACCATTATACAGACAGGAAGTTCAGTGATTTTTAAAAACCTTTGGGGGGCGGAAGTTAGCGTCACTATGAGTTGAGAAGTCATAATGATGATAGCAGTAATGAAAATAACGATAAGGCATCTGTTCTCATGTGACGGATTCAGCGTGAGCGATGCCGGCATCTTTGAAATGATAGTTCCCTGGAGTGTACAGAATGATAGTGGTTAAGACATGACTCACATCAAATCATTGATATGCATTAGAGCTTTCTGCGATTGATGAAGCGGGCATGTGTTTACCATCTCACAATGAATAGGTACCCACCACTGTTGGGATCAAAAGTGCGTAATATTCGGGGTCCATATTATAACCAGCCGGCACTGCTAGTCTGTGTACACACTTTGTTATTTAGTGTTATAACCGTCCGTTTGTGGGGAGATTCTTCAGCTCTTAGCCTCATTAGCCACAAAGGAGTAACAGCGAGTGTCCATGACTGCAGAACCATTGTGAATGTCTAGGCCAATGCATTCCCAGTTCACCGTGCTGCATACGGAGGTAAAACGGAATAGTTACGCTGGTTGCTGTTGTGCATTCCGGACGGATATAATACATGAGCTTAACTGATGGCCAACTTCATACTCAAGAGCCACTGACCGCAACCCCGGACGAATAGAGAAGACCAAAGCTGGACGAAACAGTTTGTTCCCCCGAGACTCACGATCAATTAACTCAGAAACACGTGAGTATGTATATGCGTGAGATACGACCTTGTCCGTAAAATGAGATAATGATATAGAAATATTTGTTGTGGTGCATGAAAACAGTCGCTGAAGGAGCAGCCGTCCAAGTGGCAGTAATTATACACAGACTTTTGGTACCTTACGTACCGACAAAAGCAGCATCTTTCTAGAAGTGTATTCGCTGTAAAGTCACATCCATCCGACGGGATCACTTAAATGTTTTATTCTCACATTAGTAACTTAACATGAAAGAAGCCAGTTTGCAGGTGTCATCACACCGATACATGCCAAAATATCCATAAGACTTTGCGAGTCCTGAAATGGTGCAGATGGAACACCACTAAACTCTGTCATAAATAGCAAAGGATCCTGCTAGTTATGGGACGAACAAGGAAGTACCATTTTTCAGCGCATACAGTGTTAGAGCTTGGATACAGAGTACTAGCCAACTCGTATTACAGGGTTGCTGCAGGTAAGTCACCTTCCAAGCCACCGGTTAAATTGTTCTCCCGCTTAGTCGTTTGTTCAGAATATCTCTGCTAGAACGGCTATTGGGGACGTTTGAGCGGTTCGCCTCTTGAAGAACCCTAGCTAATGGATGAGCTAATTGCGAGTGTTCCAGAAGATTGGGAGTATTCGAACATTTCTTGGTGTCACACGGCAGGCATTATTCTCTGTAGATGGTGATGTTCAAACTGAAATTCAGCATCAAATATCCCCATCGATCCGCCACCGTAAACAGGAAGTAAAGGAAGCACGAGCAGATATGGAAGAGGAACTAACCACACAATCCAACTTGGGGAGGGAGAAGTTTCTAGTCCTTTAAACCTACTTGGACTTTGTGTATACCTTTATATCTGTATGCGGAAACAAAACAGTTTTCCGCTCGTAGGGTTGGAAGACGTCCCTGCACCTGGGGAGTTTCGTAGCGGATTTGGGAGGAAAGCAGTTAACATTAGGCCCATTACATTGTGGAGGGAAGTCGTTACTCGTACCCCTGTTCGTATTCATGGACCCATCAACGTGAGAAGAAATGGAGGACTGCGGTAACTCCATTCCACACATTTAGAGGCTGAAAAGCGTTCACATTAGCCCGGGGTGCATAGATGTTGGGTAAGTGGGCGATAGACTCATCGTTTATTGCTAGCCTATCTAGCGCTCGACGAGCCCCCTCCCAAGTGGATCAGTCAACGTTAGAGGTACTCGTTCTCCTGAGAATCCCTTCAAAAACTGGTCACCTGCAGTTCGAAGCAATACTGTACGGAGAATAAATTATCCTTTTTCTCCTCCACCTTTAAGCTATGTCCCTTGGATCGTTTCAAGATGATGGGTGTGGCAAGAGAAGGCCCCATCGGATGCCATTTCGCACCTTAAAATTTTGTATGGCACGGTTAGATCCTCCGTCTAAATGCCATACGGAGAAGAGATGAGGTTCGGTTTCTGAGGCTGCTCTTCTCACGTGAAGTTAGTGGTCCAAGGGATCATATGGATAGTGCTTACTAGAGTTGGAGTTCTTCCCCGCCGAATATTCGTGCTCCAGATTAGGTCTAACTGGGAATGTGTATTGAATGGCGGTTGCATCCCCACTCATCGTAGCAGCATCTTTACTCAATGCCCGGTGTTCTCAAAGTCTGGGCTGTCATCCATCAACCGTGCTTTGACCAACAAATCATGAGCTGCAGTGTTTTCTAGGCCATAAGAGTTGGTAGTGGGGATAGAGGAGTCTCACTAGCATCATAGGTTTTGGTGCCTGGATGCCACATTTATATGTTCCCACGCATATCTATGTTGAATGGCGTCGACCATTTCTCTGATCATGTTAACAGGCCGACTAAGTCCGTCTGAAGTCCACGTGCTCCCTCGTCGTCCCTAATTTTCCACCAGATTTTTACTTCATCGGTGTAGAAAACCAAGATGGAATTTGTGATACCTTCCCGTTCGTTTGTTTGCAAGAGAAATAACGAGGGACCCGGGGCTGCACTTTTTGGAATTACACTCTGTACCCAGTTCCAAGGGGGGAGTATGGAACCGACTATTACTACGCTTTACCCGTCAACAAGGAGCCTAATGGTTCACCCAAGCGGATTACTAATACTTCTTAAGTAGCATGTGCTGAGCTAGCCTTGTGAGAGCGATAACGAAGCTTTTGAAGAAGACCTTTACACACGTCTTATCGTTCTTAGACCAAATTCAACCCTTTGTGGCCGTGCTAAGCTTCAGCAGGCAAAAGCCTCTGCGAAAGCCACGTTGCAAGCCTCATAATACATCGCTGCTGTTAAGATGGTATGTGATGACTTTCTTAATCCTTATTTCTGGAATTTTGACTACATTGTTAGTTAAACTTATCGGTCACTAATTTGTTAGGTGATGTCTAGGGGATGTTCCATGCGCAGGTGTAACAGTGTCATTGCTAAATGGGCATAGGAGTATGCTTTCACCGATGGACAGCCTGAATATAGTAGTGATTGGGTCAGCTACAAACGTCACAGACTCTTAGATCAGCCTCGCATGAAGTTCACCGAGTCCCGTTGATTTTCCCATATATCACAGCTCGTGACTCACCAACGGGGGATAATGTTTTCACTCTGGACAATCCATGAAATGAAAGTTTGGGCCACTGGAGTGTACAACCGTCTGAAGAAGTAGTATGTAGCCTGAACTTGGACTTCTGGAATAACTGCGCAGTCTTTGGAATAGGCTTTCAAGCCAACGGTTTCCATTTTCCCGTATCACACACCGAATTTTTCGAAAGTGCTGGTCTGGCAAGCGACTGCTGAGGACCAAAGCTTTGACAAAAATGCTCCTGTTTACCGAGGAGGTGCAAGGTGCCGGATAGAGCTTGCTGATAATTGTATTGAGTTGCCGCCCCGTTAGCGAACGAACTGCCTGATGCTTCTGTGGGAGACTGGATATGGTACAAATACGTAATTGTTAATCGACCTAACTAAACTCGATGTGCTGTAGTACCTGTCTGATCAGTACTCCACCGAACGCAGCTGAAAAGACGCATGAACCTACTGGAGAAAGTTCAGAGGCGAGCCACAAAAGGGTTTTCGGGATGCAATGAAAATCAAATGAGGATAGACTGAAGGACCTATGCCTATACACGCTTAGCTAACGAAGGTTTCAAGGTGACTTGGTAATGGCTCGCAAAATGTTGAACAACCGGACTCACATGAACAGAAGAATTCTAGTGCGTGACCACAATGGCGATTCTCATGGTAACCCGGACAGAATTGCTCACAATAGGTCAAAAACTCATGTGCTTTTATACCGGCAGTGGAATGCATTACCAGTAGAAGTAGTCTCCGCCTCATCTGTTGGAAGCTTCAGGAGAAGGATAGACAGTCACGCAGAGACCCATGATCTATCCATATGTTGCTGGAATACGAACTAAACAGAAGAAGCCTACCGCTGTCGCGCCATTCCCACTATTTTACCTCTACAACCAGTTTTCTTCCTACTGCAGTTATTTAAGCTCTTTTCATCGCTTTCACCTGGCATGAGTTAACTTCACCTGAGTTCTTCATACCTTCGCACCCCTCCTCACCTTACTTGGATTAAAGTGGATCACTCAGCTAGTTCACTTTTCTTTCCCTCTTTATTCACACAACTTTGCCTTCTAGGTTTTCTCTCCACCATCCCTAACTCCTTCCAACGACCAGTTCGAACAACTGTCTGGCCACCCGACATCTGAAGAAGCCAAATATACCACAGTCCAAGGCAAACTAACCAACACTTAACCTCCTGTTCTGTATACCAGAGCCACAGCAGACGAGCGGCTTGATCTGTTGCATCGGAATTCGACAAAGTCCTTGAACCGCATTGCAAAACCAGGAAGCGTGCAAGTAAAAATCAACTGATTTACACAAGCTCGTTAAAAGATACCAGATAATATTAGATATTAGATGTCCTCACATCAAGTATGACGCTATAACCCCTGCATGCTAATCTACCAGTTTGAAAACGAGTGAATCTTTTTTTATTTTGAACGATAGAATTCCAAAGTCAAATAATTAGCGGATTTACGAAATGTGTGATATGTTGCAATAATGATAACAAGAGATTCGCACCGCTCTCATTGATTTGACTGAATGAATGCCCTGTGCAAAAACAAGTAAGACATTTGCTGCATTTGAATAGTATTTAAGGTCTCAATCTTTTCATTGTCATTGAAATATATCGTTTCATGTATATGTAGTATATTCTTCCCATTATTGATGTATGGATTCCAATTAGTATGCGCACGTCGTTCTTCGACCGCATTTGTAGCAATCTTTTCCTGACAGTATGAGTGGTGGAAAGTCGTCGAATGTGTAGAAAAAAAAGGAGAAGAGAGTGTTTTCCACTTTTTTTGGTCGTCATTGCTTACTTGCGAGAATTCGCTGTCTCCAGCAATGAAATTGACAGATTAGTTGGCGTTAGTTAGTCGTTGGGTTTTTTTCGTGTGAATGTCTGGTTTCTGCTCGGATGTTTTCAGCAAAGTAGTTGGTACAAAGTATTCATGTACGGAGTTCCATTCGTTGACCACTCAGTTTGAGAAGCGTATACTCCTGCTGAGATGATTCGACCATGGTCTTAAATTTTTTTGGTGATCTTCATAGTAGTCGACACTTGAGCGAGAAAGGAATTGAGCTAACTCAATCAAAATCTCGGTCATGATACAAGATGCTAATATTAGGTGCCCTCTTCTCCTACTACATGACAATGGTAATATGTTTAGTCTTCCTAGGTGATCTTTGTAGAATAACTTGGGCAGAGTGGCTGACAGCCTAGTTATATGTTTTTGAATGTTCTAAAGCCCCCAGACAGCATTTACTTCGGGTTTCAGCCCAAAGCAACGTCGGCGCACTTACTAAATTTCCGGTGTCCCCTAAATTTTCAATTATTTCCGGTCTGCTTTCGTTTTATTGATTTGCAATGCGTGACCACGTGAGGCAATAAGGCGTGAACGGTATATATAGTCATATTATCAGATATGGTTTCCCAGAACTATGAATATAGGTTATTTCAAAACTTAGGGCGAACTCCCTGCATTTTGTGGACTTCGGGCGCGTCTCATACAATTTGGGCGCACTTTTGGAACTTTTGACAGTTTCGGGGAAAACATTTCGTGGAATATCGCACGTTTCCCTATCTGCATCCAAAGTAAATTTTTCGGGGTTTTACCCAAAAATTACAATATGCGCCCAAAGCAAATATTGGCTGGGCTCTAGCGTCTTTTATGGGTTAGGTACTGGCCTCTTGAATGCAATATTCGAGATGGGACTACACAAACGTCATTATCATCACGACTGATATAGAACCAGGAATTACTGCGTAGCGGTACAAATTGTCATATCTCATATCAACACATCAAGTAGCATGGCAATAAAATAATGATAAAGAAGGAAAGAAAAATCGGTCGGAAGTAGAAGCATAAAGCAGTAAAATAGAGGGAGGAAGAATGAGAGTGTGATGAGACTAAGCATTAGCGACTCAGACGAGCGTAACGTATGTATGCGTCTGCACCACTGACATTGGTTCTGAGCCGTATCACCTAGAGTCATCAAGCACTAATTTTTCTTGTCCTATAGATCCCAAACGGCTAGTCTGGATCACCCTACATGGCTAAAACCGACAGTCAAGGACTTCATGCATTGATGTCATGTTTTAGTCTGGCAATCCCAAGCCATTTTCCGACCTGAATCTACTTTGCCCAACATTGTGTGATAAACTTTGGGTACAGTATTAGAAAGTGTCTTTAGCAAAGCATGGGGTTAAGATTCATTCAGCTAGGGAGTTGACTCTTAATCAGTATGTCATGGGTTTGAACTTTGTTTCACCTACCGAGGTTTGGGCAGCCAGGCAGTAGTATTATTAGCCCTCATATAATAGATGTGGCTCATTGACTACTGTATGTAAATGTAAAAGGTTTCTGAGTGGATTTCATTTTTTAAAAATTCTTCATCGAAGCATTGAATGCTGTGTGAATAGACCAAAATACGCGAAGTACTTTCGTTGTGGCTTCATTACAATCTGCAGACGCCTCTAAGTTTTGGTTGACCAACTCTCCAAATTGTTAATTTCCCGGACGTCAGGTACTTGTATCCCATATACCAAAAATTAATAATAGCTGCTATGACCGCTATGCGTAAATGAACACTTCCTAGAATAAATTTTCAGACAGCATTGCTTGGAATACTTGACCAATTCTTTTACGTCCACTTGTAGAGCATATTTAGAGTCATCTCTGTGGATAACCCTCCATATATTTACGTTGTCGGCAAATAGTAACACTGGTGACCTAATCATATCCGATAGTTCGTTGAAATAGGCAAGAAAGGGTGAGAACCTGGAATTATTCCTTAGGTAACCTTACTTCCATTTCTTTTTCTCTTTTTCCAGTATCCTACGTAAATTCTTTTATTTAGGCTTGCATTACAGTGCAGAACTCGGGATTTGAGAGCTTCTTCAATAGTTTAATGTGCAAAACGTTGTCAAAAACCGTACTGGAGTTAATGTTTATAGTATCTGCAAGCATCTTGTTACCACTGGATGCTGCTCGTTTCTTTCTTGCTGTATGTCAATTAAGCAAGACCTAGCAATGCGAAACCCGTGTTATAGCAATATTTAAAGACTATAGTTTTCGACGTGACTGAGCACTGCATTCCTGATAATCTTCTCAAAAACTTTATCAACTAGTTAAGCTGACTGAAAGATAATTTGATACCATATACCATCTGCTTGGATTGAACACTGGTATGACCATATTACCCTTCCAGTCTCTTGGAAACCGAGTCTGAAATAAGGATTTGTTAAACGGTTGAGCAAGCAGCCTGATAATAATGTTTGCCAAGAATAATAATGGCTTTGGGTGCAGGACATCAGGAGCAGAACATTTTCTAGGCTCAGAATCGCTCAAAAGCTGGAAGACCGTCTTTCTTGCGACGTACACTAGGCTCATTGTTGGTGAGTTTTGTGGAATGCTGGTCGAAGTAATAATTCCTCCATATACTGAAAAGACTGCAGTGCAGTCAAAGAGACGTGCAGCTTTGAACAGATTAAACTCAGCTAGTTCTTCTAAATCCCTGGGTGATAGAAGAGATTAGCCTTCATCCTTAAGTTTCATTCTCCTTTTAGTGGTTGAGAAGTACCATTTTGGGCACAACTGACAGTTAGTCACAAGTTTGGTTTCTCATTTTATTCTGAACTTTGTAATACTTGATTTACATATGTTCCTAACATTGCACTAAGAAGCCTAGAAAGTTTTATTTATGAGTGAGTGAGGGTCATCAGGCGCTGTTACGCCGGCAGGAGTTCAAATTGAATTACTATGGTTAAATCTTGAATTCTGAATACACGCGGGAGATACACAGTTACATCTATGAGAACATTAATTGTCGTCCTTATCACTTGGATTTGACCTGGCTTCTTAAATTTTAAGCTGTTACTCGTAGCAATTATTCAGAAATGCACTGAATAAACTAAAAAATATACAGCTGAACTACCTTCCTCCCTACTTTTAGGGATGCATCTAATAGGATTCATATGTAACAGATCGAAATTGAAAAAATACTGTTCATTGCCAAGAGGAAAACCTTTTTATATCTACAGAACTTGAGAATAAATGCCCTGGAAATTTCACTAGAATTTTCTTCACTTCCATCATTTGTGTATAATAAAGTCTTCCTGAAATTTATCATCATTATTAATAATAGGACACAAACATGGCACAGCAAGGGCGCCGAAAAATGCACCACACATAATAATACAACATTGTAAAGAAGTAAAGCAAAGGGAAGTGAATAAAGATAAAACACAATAAGAACAGAGTGATTAGAAGGGCAGTCCAGTAAGATATATTTGAAACCAAAAATTCATTACTTTTCAGCAGCAGAAGATAGAAGGAAGCCTCAGCATAGCCGCCAATGATTTCGATTCTGAGCCATATCTTATGACGTCTGAAGGCACTAAGTTACATGATGCACCAACAGTTTCTAACCCTATGCATCTATCCTTCATCCCATGACGCCAGGTCATACACTGACCATCCCTCTGCTTCATCCATCCAGTCCCAGAGCTAACAATAATGAACAGTATGGAAGCCGTTGGGACGACATCCGTCACTCATGTCCAAGCCACCGAAGACGGTGTTTCCAGATGATTCGCTTATCGAGTGGCGATCTCTTTCATGCCCAAACACACGTTGTCGTACTTCAGGATTCCTTACGTGATGTTGCTACCGGAACCTAGCAATCGTACGGAGACAACGATGATCAAACACAGAGTCGTTTTACATCCTCAGCTAGGAGATGCCAGGTTTCACAGGCATAGATCAGAACTATTCACATCGAAGCGTTGTAAACGTGACCTTTTACGGTCAGACTAGCGTCACGAAGTCGTCAAGGGTGGCTTAGATTGGCGTGTGCAACTCTGGCTTTCGACTTGGGGTTGGAAATTTTACCACACATCCACCAGCACTCACACAACCACCCAGATACATGAACGTTTTGACGACTTCCAACAGTTTGCCACCGAGGTTGAGCTGAGAGGTAGGCTCCTACCAATCTGCTAAAAGTACTTTGCACTTCGATGGTGCGAACCACATACCATACTTACAGACACTAATCGCCAACTGATTAAGTGCGACTTGAGTAGCCTGTGTGTTATCGCACAGTAAGAGGATATCGCCCGGATATTCAAAGTCAAAAAGCCGTTCTCCGGGTAGTAGATCTATGCCATAATCATGCACCTCCTTCAGATCTGCGTCAAGAATATCCTCAGTGGCAAAGAGGAACAGGGAAATCGAGCAACCCCGCCTGACCCAACTGCTGGTTTGGAACAATGGAGGTGTTATCACATAGGGCTTTCAGGATGTGAATAAAATTTCCAGAGACGCCTATCTCTAAAAAGCAATTCCAGAGTTGAATGTAGTCCTAATATCAAGAAACGCAGTGGCTGCTGGCCTACAGTACGTGCGGCGACGTTCACGTGTATGTAGGAGGATAAACACATGGTCATTTCATCCACTACATTCACGAAACCCGGCCTGCTCATCGCAGATCACTTCCTCATCTACGAAGTATGGTGGCAGTCAATATTTCCAATACTACTGATCGCAGACTAATACCCCGCATGCACTATGTAGACCCTTTTTAAAGATGAGCACAACAATGGCTTCATTCCAGAGTGATGGAACACTCTCAGTCTACGATACCTGTTTAGCCGCTCAAAACGGTAGAGACATCAGAGGTCTACGCAGTGGAGAACAGCTGAGTTAAGTGAAGATAAAGACAAACGAAATGGGTAATAATAAAGAAATGCAGTTCATCTGTGAAAACAACAAAACCAATATAATGTCAATAAATTGAGTGGCCGGTTAAAGTTCGTAGTGGAGAGAGCTTGAGTGTTCACAGGAAAGTCGGTTAATGGCTTTGAAATCCTCATTTTATGTTGTGAGTTCGTATTTTGTGTGAGGGCCTTGGATACTGCCCGTGAACCCAGACTGAAGCAGGTGGTTGTCTTAGGGGACCACTCACCAAGCCTTTGAATTAAAGTCGAATCCACAAGGCAGTGCAGAAACATTCCCAGCTGGATTCCTATGATTGCCGGCAACCAAAATAGGTTCCTGCGCCATTCATTTCATGTGGAGCCTCGAGACCATGAGTACCATCGGTTTTGAATCAGGGTTTTCTAACTCTCCTAGGTGGACCTTCAGTATTCACCAATCCGGTGATAAGCGCCGGACATTTGCTTGCACCCTTTCACATGTGTGAAAACACCCCTGCCACCTGAAGGTAGTTAATATGACTTCTCTGGCAGAGGTTGTGAACGCGAACCAGAGCAGTTTGGGGCAAATATAGTGAGTTTAGTTATTCGATCATTTTATTCCTGATATTCAGAGAATGAATTCTATCGAAGACTTTATGGTTTATATTAGGATTCTGGAGCTGCCGTGAATAAAGGTTGCCGTATCACCAGCCACATATTATTTTTGTAGAGATGTATTGTAAGAGGCGCAGTAAATCTTGAATAAACCTCAAATAGACGTCTTAACAGATGAAAGAAAAAGGATATCGAAATATTGTTGGTACTGATACAACCATGTTTGAGAAAAATGTAATGCAAATCAAAAAGAAAGACCTTAGAATGCAAATAGCTGTTTCCTGAAACCTGGATACCCTGCACGTTGAACAGTTTTACAGGATTGCCGTACTGATATCTGTAATAACATTTAAGTACTTTGAAACACTTGTTTCTCATCGATTATTTGAGTATTTCAAATGACTGAAAGTTGTTTCTGTGACTAAAAAACCTACAATAAATCGCATCAAAACTTCCTCATACATACTGAGTCAAGGCAAGTTAAAATTGCCTCGAAAAATTTGCGAATTCTACTTTCATGTTCAGATCTGGAATGCAAAAGAAAGCAAGAGCATGTAATAACAAATGCTAAGTAGTATTTGACTAACTGTAATGTTTTCCTAGAGTAAATTCAGACAGACGGTTTTCTATCCAGGGAACAAAGTTAGTTATGCAAAAAGTTTATTTTATAATGAAGTCGTTAACCATGCAGCCAATGATATTGCGTTTAAGTGATAGCAAACATATGGTAAGCATTTTTGTGTGGCAAATATTCGAACTGAATTAGCAATACCAAGGTTGGTGAACATTAACCCCCAAAAATTTCTCTTAACATGCCATTGTAAAACCTACAGATCCATTCACATCCTCATTTCCTCAACTGAATTTCAAAACACATCGATATCCTTAATTATTAACTGCCATACTTTTGTCTTACCACATTGCTCAAGTTTTATTGGTTAATATACCTTTCAGTGTCATGCCTTGTCATTTTGTGATAAGAGTTAAGTTAAAGATAGGCTTCTTTATGCATGCAAGTAGATATGGTCCTCATATACAAAACACCCCAAGATAAACACTGTTAATTTTTTTAAGAATGAATGAAGTCAGTATTGAGAAGGAAACAGAAGTCTCTTCAGCCTACCATTACTTGCAGTCAGTAACATTTGTTGTACAATAGTTGGTGAATTTATATGTTTGTGATTTCGAACTAAAAACTGTCCACCGTTTTGGCAACCTTTAGTTATCATACTTGTGATTATTTATCATATGTTCAAAATAAATCTGGTACATACAGGTTTGAATCTTTATATGAGTGCAGCCGGGCATAATCTGGAAAGACAACATCATCTTCATTAAGTCTTAAGATTTCCCTTTTCTTTTATCCCAAGCTGTGTTGCGCTGAGTTATAAGTAGAGGTATTAGTCACATAACGGTGTAAAGTTACTGTAGCACTACTTTCAAAATAGGTAATATGATAGTAAACATCGAAGTGAAAACTTATTCTTGCTATTAATTAGTATGAGGATTAATAAACATCTAATTTAAAGACTGTCCATCAAAGATTATCATCTGGTGCAAACCCTGTCAAAGGTAAGGTGATGCTCGGAGACTGGTCTGCAACTACCCCCAGTTTAATGATAGGGAGTGGAGTGATGGAATCCGTTGGCCTCTTCACTTGCTCGGAGAATCGCATCAGCTTTATTGGGCTGGTTGCTGACGAAATCTCAGCTTGGATACAGAAGGCCCGTTTGACACTTACCAACATGCGTCATCTCCGGCACCAGCTGGCAAGGTGTCCTATTATTTATTAGAAGACGAGCATACTGCGCTGCAGTTCGTTCTTTCCTGCTGTTGGTCTGTGAGACATGTCCGTTGAAAGTAGAAGGCATGAATTGGTTACAGGTGTCTTCATAGCATTGGTTACATTTGGTGCAACCACTATATGAGCAGTGCTGCGGCCAGGAGAAGGGTACTAGGCAAGGCAAGGAAGTCGATTGATGAAATTGTGAGCCTTAGTCCATTGAGCTGGCGATGCTAGGGAATGTTGATTTGGTTGCAAGAGGGTTCAGGGTAGCCAGACCGAGACGTGACACTAGTCGATGAAGTCCCTGACTATTGGTCTCAGAGGTGTGGATGACATCTTTGGGATGATAGGAACAAATGGTATAGGACTTCTGATAACGTGGACAAAAATCGGTTGCATTAGCTCATATGTGTTCTCGATTTGACGTTTTCTAAAGCTTGAATATTCGCACTAACCTTTAACTTCAAAGGCTTATTCGCTCACACACATTCGTCTCTTTTGATGTCGCTCTTATTTTATCCATTTGTTCTTTATATAATACTGCGAAATTTTCAACTTGAACTCATGCACTTGTGTCCAGGGTTCCACGTTGATTCTGTCTGTCTGGTGTAAGCAAGGTGACGGATCACTGCACAATGTTGATAAACTGATATTTTAGGAATATGAAACTGAGATGACAGTGTAACGGGATTAAGAATGCCTTGTTTAAACTACTGATCTTACAATTCAGATTGTAATTGAACGAGTCTTTTCTTTCTGTGGTACCTCTCGAACTCCTAACATCTCTGTTAAAGATGTTTCTGTGTTGTTGGTGTATTTCTCTGATACTTGTGCATACAGTATTCACAGCTAGTGTCTGAATCTAGTTGTGATTCATAATGCCACAGCATTGGTCTTGATGCTTCTATGATATATGTATTTTAGCAAATTCCTTGGCAGATGTTCTAATAAAAGCTTTCCACTAGGCTTGAGTGCGAAATGCTCAATTGATGTAAGTTGAAGTTAAAGACTTATCACATTATTTTTGAAAGAATTCCTACAATAACTGAGGTCAAGAAATATAAGAATAGCCTTTCCTCATAAACACGCACAGCTCAGCTTTATAGTTTGACATAATTTATTCCTGATAGTATAGTGAGTTTTACAGAAACGTATTACGCAGTAGTATTAGATTCCGTTTTAATTTCGACTAAATAAGTGCATTATGGGTAACTGCTGCAGTTGATAGTACGGTAGGTTCATCTTAACAGATTTACTCACTTAAACCGATTAGCGACTGAACTTTCTTAATCATTGTTTCGTGCATTTCACTTCGCATAATTGAGGAGTGGAAGTTATCCTCGAAAACAGTTAAGTTATGCCAACTTCAACGGGAAATAATGTGTGCAACAGATTATCGTTAACTCGATAATAAATGTTCGATGTATAAATTTCTTTTTGAGTTTTTCATCATCTCATTCTCCAAAAAATGTAGGCAAACAGCCTAATGAATGTATTGGAAAATCACATAAATGGTTCCAATCTACCAAACTTTACAGCTCGCAGTAGCAGTTTAAGTTCTTATGCCACATTCAATGGTAAGTGAAACTTTAACTAACAGTGGCTTTTTAAGATTCTGAATCCAGCCCAATTTTAAGACCTGTCTGTTCACCTTCTGGTGCTAAATCATGGTTATCTCAAGTAGATCTTGGATGCCCAGTTTGTCAACATGAGTTCTGCTTCAGCTCACTCCTGTGTACTACCGAAAACGTCCAGGGTCAGTTACCGGAGAACTCTGAGAAGGTGATTCATGATTTGCACGCTAGACTTCACGCTGTTTCGTTGGTAAGTCTCCTCAGAAACGTTGCAGTATTTTTGAATCACTTATAGCTGTATACTAAAGAGTGATTTGTGAACTTATTGTCTGTAGGAAGTACCTGCATCTTATATTTTTGATAAAATAACCAGGGAAACTTTTAAGATGCATGCTCACATTCCATGTATGTTGGCATGCATTGAAGTTCTATAGCACCCTGCTATAGTTCTCAGAAATTTCTGAATTACACTTGCTGATCGGTAAATAACTGTCCTATTTTCATTCAGTTAACTTTTTCATCCGCCTAAGTAACTCAGATATAATCTTTTATTAGCTTAAAGTGAAAACATTTGTCCCATGAATGTATACTGAAGTGGGCGAGTGGATAATAATAAATACGCGAACGATAATAACGCAGTGCGATATTTCCACTAGGTATGAATACTAACAACTGTTCTCCCTCAGAATCTTATGCCTTACGGAACCGCGAAAATCAGAAGACAAAGACCCATTTGTGACTGTAAGGAAGACACTTTATTCGACAAAAAATACCGTTTATGTAGTTTTTCTCAGAATATAAAGCCACTAGGTCAGAAGCTGGAAACTTATTTTGATTGGTCAGCTGTAGGACAAAATTGTCCAATGAGGCTTTTCCTGTCCGCACAGTAATACGAAACAAAAGTTCAAATCCAAAGTTTCTACCTTAGCGACTGACGACTTAAAATGTTGATTTCCATTTGGGCCGTTTTGTATCAAATACAAAACCTTTGGATAAAAGTGTAATCCAAGTTGGAAATTTATATTTGTTGGGTAGTATTTATTGTAGCATATTGTGCAGGTCTGATAGAAGGTTTCTGCTCTTCTCATCATATGAATCGCTTCACATTAGTTGACAAAACAATAACGTCACCTATCGTTACCAGGATATAACAAATCAGATGCTTATTTAGAGAGACATAAATGATTTTTTTCACATTTTTAAAAGTTATACAGATTTTTGGTGCACAGTTTCTTCGATTTACATTATGCGACTGTTTGTATAGCAATGTTATCACTAACTTCTATTCGAAATGTCATTTTATATGCTAGAAGCATTCTTCTGTAATATAGTCATAAGTCAAATTTCAGTTTTAAATTAATCTTACTGAAGACAGCATACCTAACGCTTACTTCCAAACTAACTTCACTTGAGGTTGTATATATCTATGAAGTAAAAATTAAACAATGTAGGGACTAAGAGCGCTAGTTTGGAAATGCAGGATATTTTCTTGAGGTATTTCAATGCAGGTGATAAAGAATTGTCAAGAGTCGAAGGAAAAGTATCACCTTCAAAGCGTTTTACCTATAAGTGGTAAATAAATGCCTTATTAACTTTATTTTCCATGTTTATTGTTTTCTCAGAGACTTTTTTAATCGTTATCACTTTCCATCATCTCGGATGTTTCCATTATTTTTTCAGGAATGTACAGTCCTAAGGTCAGAACTCGAAGTTCTTCATAAAGCATTTACTTCAAAATGTGAAGCAGTGAAAATATTAACGTTGAATGTAAGTTTTGTGCTCCTTCTTCTTATTCTTCTGGTGAATTTAGAATAGAAATGGAGTGAAATAAAATAAAAAAAGTTATGAGAAATGAAATGAGACTGTCAAATATAATAATAGATTATAGAATATAGCACTTATTTATTGCATTACAAGTTATGTTTTTTTCACAATATTTGTTCCAAACACTGAAAGAACCAAGAACTTATTGAAATTGACTAGGCGAATGAATAATACTATTGTTCGTGTGATAATACTTTTATGCCCTTATTATATAGTATTTGTAACCAATAAAGATATTTGCGATTCAGTTGAACTGAGTATTTTTAAACGGTATTTAGAAGTATTCAAATGTTTACAACTGAAACAAAATATCAGTTCTTATTACTTCGTCAGTTTCCCTCTTCTTTTTCTCATATGTTTTGAAATCTTTGGAAGAATCCTACTATTAGTTTTTATGATTATTGGTACTGTCAACACCACGGTTGTCACATTATACCTTTTCAGAATAAGATTACAACTCTAAAATCGTTTACATTTCGTTTATTCAGTTAATGACATTCATTTCTCATAGCATTATAATGATATACAACCACAGAATAATGTATGTTTTGGTACATTAAAATGAACTTATGTTGTTTTATAGAAAATGATGCACTTTAATGGTGTATATCTGTCAAAGTTGACCATTCATCCGACAAGTCTAGGGTAGTCATCCAGATCACACTAGATTTGTGATCTTAAACTGAAAGGTTTTACTTTATTGATGCAAAGATTCAAAATTATACTCTCCTCCACCTGCCTTGAATTCAAACAGGTAGATAGTACACTCAACCATATACGAAATGTTTCATGGCTTATCCAAATATTGATGGTTATTAGTTGAATCCATATTTAGCCACTGAAATTATAGAAACCGAAGTTACTACACTTGTATGATTGATTCTGAGTTATATTTAAAAAGCATTTGAACTGATACTGCAAGTTATATCTTTTCTGTAAACATCATTAAAACTAAATAGTTTTTAAAATAGTCGATGACAATTAACTCAATGTAATGTACTAGTGTTGGACGTGGAAAGACAGTTTATAGTTGCATCTGAAGGATTTCGTAAAACAGAAATCAATAAATGCAACTTGAAGTAAAAATTTGGTTCAATATCTGGAATAGTTACGTAAAATAATGATTTCAATCGTTTTCTTAAGTAAGATTTAAATTTAATACATCTGTTTGGATTAGAAATCATAAGTTTGACTTTATTGACTACAGATCAAATTATTAATCAGTATTAATATGTGGGTAATATGCAGTCTCACAGAACTTCTGAATAGTCAACAGATGTTCTACTAGTCTCATATCCAGAAAATATTTCATATAAATTTAAGTGATACGCAGTTTTAGACTTATCCCGATATATGAAACTTTTGTTTTAACCGTTAGGTCTGTTCTGGACTTAAAGTGGTGAAAACTTGGTTGTATTGTTGAAAACTGATTAACTGCAACCCATACTAAATTCATTATATTCGAGCGTGCTCCTGATCATTGCTGTACCTCTATGTTTTTGTTTGTATAGTCCTGTCGTTGAGTGCACCTAATTGATCGGTTTCTGTTGGTATATGAGTTCTTGAGCGGATGCCTTGATATTTTCTGTCGTTGCATTTTGATATCAGTGATGGATGATGACTACTAATGGAATTCAAAACGCGCATTTCGTCCTATTTTGGACTCGTCAGATGGTTGTGCCGCAGAGAGTGATTTTGTCCCCGCTAAGACTTGAGGACCAGCCAGAGCGTTTTCTACTAGGCTACCAAGTTACGGTAAGCACTTTGATAAAAAACTATACCCCTCACACAAGAAGTGGATATCGTTACTCTATGGCCTAGTACATAACGTTCTGGTGTTTGAAGCGATCGGCCCCGAAATGAGTCCTAGTGGAAAGAACATTGCTCCCCGGGAGGTAGGTGCGTCCGGTTGATGAGTTCCAAATATGACGAAACGTGCGTCATGGATTCCACTGCTGGCCACTTTGCATCATTAATATAAAGTATCATATCTCATGTACAAGTAGTGTTGATAAAGCGTATGGCAAGAGTTATGATTAGTTAGGCAGAACTGTTTATAGAAGAAATTCATTAGATAACGAAATGCATAGTATTATTTGGGTAAGGTATTTAAAACTTGTTTAACTGCATAAGGCTGAACTAAGGACACCGGACATAAATGTGCTGACCTATAATATGTAAGTGAAAAGTGGCGATTGATCATATGAAGGTGGGTAGTTGATCGAATGAAACTTACAAACTTGTATTAACAGAAGTTATTTAACTATTTTTTCTGTTTTGAATTAAGGTGAAGCTACTCCAGGAAGAATCATGACAAAATCCTAAGGTTCACACAATAATTCGAAACTGTTTCGTATAACGTGGTCAGTTAGCAGTCTCACTTTATACCCAAGTATTTTTATTATAGAAATTCAGTGTACGCATCTGTTTACAATTCACTCCTCTGTGAATTTGTTAAATCAGGAATAGAGAGATGAGAAACAATATTGATTTTTTTATTCAGTTGATAAGGTCTACGTTAAAAATTCCTATTCAGACATTTAGAAAAAAGATTGATTGTTTGGATTGATTGGAAAAAGATTGATATATTCCTTTTCAATTAGGTCTTTATCTCTACAGCAATATATGAGTGTACAGTTAATGTCATAGTGCCAATCAGATAGTGGTGGGTCTATTAATAATAACTACCAATTGTAAGTAAGACATAAAGATAATAAGTTAGAGAAATCAAAATGTTTATAATCAACAGAGTAATTATACGACGTTATAGGTAGTAATTATAATAATGTTGAACAGGTTATTCTTTGACAAAACGGAAAATAACTGGTAAAGTAAATAGAATATTGTTTTGAGAGGTCAGCGATGAACAATATATAACTATGCTGGGATAAGGAAACAAAAGAATATGAAGAGAATAAAAGATTCTGGAATGATTTCTGTCAAGTAGATGAACATGTAATCCATAAGGTAAATTAATCGGTATGCGATAAATAATTTTAAATACTTTACTAGTATCCACTTCATGTCTAGTGTCAAATAGTAGTGCAAATATGGAGCTCTTTATTGTTCTAACCTGTCTCATAGTCAGCTATGATAAGTGAGGCTCAGAAACTCGACGATGAACCTACATTGTCGTATGCCTCATGTAACTAACTCCACAGAAGAAGTTGAACTGGTGAATGTATATGAGAGTAATGGAACCACAATCATTCGAATTCACTTGATTCAAAAGTTCTGTTTTAAAATATTCTTATACCTTACTAGGCGATATACAGCGTGTCACACTTACGGATACTTAATTATATATTTAGATGAAGTACATTTAAATGGAAAGTCAGTGTGAAAAAACGACGTGAAAACCAGTGGTTATTATTACATAACTGTTTTATTATTGGCACCTATGGGTGGCTGATCTTTATCAACCTCATTCAACAACTATATGAAGACGCCACATGCCAAGTAATTCACAATGGGAAGTTCAGTGATACCTTTGAAGTGAAGATAGGAGTAAGACAAGGCTGTGTACTATCACTCATGATCTTCCTGATTATGGTCGACTGGATCATGTGGGAAACAGTGAGGAGCGAGAAGAGGGGGATACGCTGGACCTATGAAAAGATCCTAGAAGATTTGGATTTCGCCGATGATGATTTATGTCTCATGTCTTGAAGATCTACAGGCGAAAACTAACAAGTTGACAGAAGAGGCAGCAAAGATGGGACTTCAAGTGAATGTGGAGAAGACAGGTGATGAAGATACCCAACGAACGCCACCACCAACAACAAGCACCATCAACAGGCGAAACTTAAAGGAAGTAACCTCCTTCACCTGTCTAGGCAGCACTGTTGCAACCACAGGCGGCACAGACGAGGACGTCAAAGCAGCCAGGATCAGAAATGCAGCAAGACAGGCGTTCATTAGCTTGAAAGCAGTGTGGAAATCTTCTGCACTCAGCATGTGGAACAAGGTCCGGATTTTTAACACCAATATCAAGTCAGTGCTTCTAAGATGGTTCAGAAACTTCATGCGTCACGAAAAGCACTTCCAATAAACTACACACATTCACCAACAACTGCCTATGCTGGCTGGTTACTGAAGCTCAGATGACCAGAATAATAAGAATAAGCAACAAGCAACTCTGGCCTGGTAACCAACCAACCAGGGACCTGTCACTGAACAAATATGCATAAGGAAGTGGAGATGGATTGAATTGGGCATACACTGAGAAGACCGACTGAGGACATCACGCGCCAGGCCAGGCCAGGCCGGGCCATCGAGTGGAGTCCCAAGGGGAAATGGCTAGTTGGGCATCCTAGCTGAGGGTGATATGGAGGAGATGATGTGAGGAAGAAATGAAAGCTTGTGGGCAGTCGTGGAGCCAGTTTCGAAGGATTGCAGAGAAGAGAGTGGAATGGAGGTGTGCTACTGAAGCCCTATGTTCCACTAGGAACCCAAGGGACAAATAATATAATAGTGATAATGGGTGGTTGATTGATTTTGGAACATACACACTGAAAATGATCTAATCAGTCACATTTGTATTCCTCGGTGGATACTTCGGAATAGTTAGGTGACATAAGGCATATCAGAGTTTCTTCATTTGTTAATTATATTAGATCACTAGGTTAATATACTGAATAATTCTTTGATTCACTACTTTGAACTCAATGAATATCTGTAATTTATTCAACAAATTTATTAGCATATTCTTTTTGAATCAATAATATCATACTTTAGTCAAACCAAACATATGAAATAAACAAATTATTTTTACTAGACTAATCCATTTTTAATTTGTCATTAACTGATCTAATATTGTTTTTGTGGGTTTTATTTTGTTCTATTTTCTATCATTTATTATTACATGAGTAATTATACCAGTCTAGAACCCCTGAATTTTATTATTTGTAACTAATAATTGACTTTTACTATCGTTTAGTCAA